TGATCAATTGATCATCAGCAAGTGTGACTACCTCTAGAAAAGTCAAAGTGTTAGGAGTTTGCGGGTCTTGAGCATTGAGGTGTGTATGCCAAAGAGTAAAGACATCAGCAATGATCTTAGAAAAGCAATTGTTGCTGCCCATCCATCTGGGAAGGGTTATAAGTCCATTTCCAAACAATTTAAAGTCCATCATTCTACAGTGAGGAAGATTATTTACAAGTGGAAAACATTCAAGACTGTTGCCAATCTTCCCAGGAGTGGATGTCCTAGCAAATTCACCCCAAGGTCAGACCGTGCAATGCTCAGAGAAATTGCAAAAAATCCAAGAGTTACATCTCAGACTCTACAGGCCTCAGTTAGCATGTGAAATGTTAAAGTTCATGACAGTACAATTAAAAAACAAACAAACCAACCTGAACAAGTATGGTTTGTTTGGAAGGGTTGCCAGGAGAAAGCCCCTTCTCTCTAAAAAGAAGATGGCAGCATGGTTTAGATTTGCAAAGTCACATCTGAACAAATCAAAAGGGTTCTGGAACACTGTCCTTTGGACAGACAAGACCAATGTTTGGCCATAAGGCACAGCACCATATTTGGCGAAAACCAAACACAGCGTATCAGCACAAACATCTCATACCAACTGTCAAGCACGGTGGTGGAGGGGTGATGATTTGGGCTTGTTTGGAGCCACAGGACCTGGGCACCTTGAGTCAACCATGAACTCCTCTGTAACCAAAGTATTCTAGAGTCAAATGTGAGGCCATCTGTCCAACAGCTAAAGCTTGGCCGACATTAGGTCATGCAACAGAACAATGATCCCAAGCGCACCAGCAAATCTACAACAGAATGCTGAAAAAGAAAAGAATCAAGGTGTTGCAATGGCCCAATCAAGGTCCAGATGTCAACCCGATTGAAATGCTGTGGTGGGAGCTCAAGAGAGCTGCACATAAACAAATGCCTGCAAATCTCAATGAACTGAAGCAATGTTATAAAGAAGAGTGGGCCAAAATTCCTCTATAACAATGCGAGAGATTGATATTGAAGTTATACAGAAAACGATTACTTCAAGTTATTGCTGCTAAAGGTGGTTCTACAAGCTATTGAATC